AGAAGTAGCCTGGATATGTTGGAAGTTGATATTTTTGAAAGTAGACCTGAATTGATCAAAAACAAAAAGAAGCAGAAAAGATCAAACAATAGGGTGGGGGTGGCCAACCTTGGGTGGCCCCAAAAGGATCAATGAAGCTTTTTCTGTGGAACTGTAGAGGTCTGGGTGGACTCTATACAGTTTCCCCTATTAAGGAGTCCTCAAAGCTCCACCACCCTAGTTTATATTTTTATCTCAAAAATTAAAAAAAAAAAAAAGAAAAAAGAGTTTGTTAAGTCTGTGTGCAATAAGATTGGATTAAGAGAGAGGTGGAGAGCAGTTAGATCCACAAGGTTTAGGTGGAGGGTTGTTTCCCCTCTGGAGTAGAGAGATGGTGATTAAGCAAATTGTGGAGCATTCTTTTTGTTTTGAAGTAGAGTTGGAAGCTGATTCAGGTAATGCTTCAGTTTGGGTAATTATAGTGTATGCTAGTGGGCTATTTTTGAAGCTTTAGAGTAAATGGATAGATAGGTGGATTGCTTGGGGTAATTGGAATGAGATTAGAGATAGTAGTGAAAAAAGAAGTGGAAGGGTAAAATATGTAGCTGATGTAGGGGTTTTAATGAGTTTATTGCTAATATGGAGATGCAGGAGATCAAAATGTCAGGTCATTTCTATACTCGGGCCAACAACAGAGAGATGGAAGGATTTATTGAGGCAAAAACTGATAAGGTTTTTGGTTCTTTTGGTTGGATAGCTTAGTGGAGAGTGGCTTGGGGGGTTGGATCTACGACTCGGAAGGCTTGTGTTGGGCAGCTTTTGCCTCAGGTTTTTTTGGATCTTTCTCACCTGCCGCCACCAAAGCTCTTGTACTCAGATTCGTACACCATTTTTCTCTTCATTCGAGGTTTTCTCTTCAATTCGCAAGACAGACGACTTCTCTGTTATTTGTGGCATTTTCGATTTTTACACGACTGACCCATTAAATCAAGTTTTTACATAAATTATCTCTCTTTTGTAATCCCAAATTGTGGATTCTGTAGTCATATTAGTTGGGATCAAAACATTTTTGCCCATAAGCTAGCTAACTGGGCTATATCGTAAACGGGATCCTTTATTTAAAAGAATTGTCTATCGCCTTTTTATCTTCTTTCATTGGTTTTCATTGGTAGGACTCTTAAACTTTTTCTTAAATGTTATCATGTTGTGATTGAAAAAAAAAAATAAAAGGGATGATATTAGTAAAAGGTTCCGTGCCACATAAATTATAAAATAGCACACAAAAAACTCCCCTAATTTCCATTGTCCAGTTTAAAGTTGAACCACTTTTCTTTTATATTGATTTATCCTAAACTTTAACATACGGCTCAAGAATTCCGAAAAGCCAGCCATTATTTCTCAGTGGCTATGGATATTTTGTCTGCCACCGAAACAAAAAATCACACTATATCCTCTATAGCCTAAATTCAATCAATAAAATATAACAACAAATATGTAGCAAATATTTATTTTTCATTACATTTAAATACACAGTCAGAAACATTTGTTTTTCCTCCAATTGGAGCATTGAAAAGAGCCCACCTAAGCAGAGAGCTCGTTCCACAGGGCTTTTACGAGGGAGCTTCAAGGTTCCTACTTCGATCGCAATGTTACAATAAACACATAAAATTCCCCCAAGAATCAATGCTAATAAGTATGGTTTTAATTATTTTTCATCTGGGCATTTGACGCGTCTGTGTTAAAACATTTTTTTTTCTTCTTTCTGAAGTATTTTTTAGTTTCTTATGCTGTTTATCTGTGTGATAAATTTAATTGTATTTTGTCGTTGTGATTCTGTGAAATAGATCATAAGGGTCTTTTCTAGTGATCATCAGTTTTATTGCTTCATTGTATTAGTGATGGATATTTTTATTGCTCATTTCTCCTCTTTTATGTTTTCCGCTGTTTTGTTAATTTTCTGGGCTAGAAAGCCCAATGTTGATTTTTAGGACATGTTGAATCTTTCTGTAATTTTTCAGTTGAAAGTGTGAAGGTGAACTTTGNNNNCTTGGTTTTCTGTCTTCATTAATTTGCTTCATTGATAGTTTGTGGATGAATCTTTCCTCTATTTGAGTCTAATATCACTTCCTTCTGTGGTGCACAATATCTGTAACTCATGATTTGTACGAAGCTATTAAAATTGGACTATCCCATGTATCAATTTGATTCGAGTAATTCTACAAAGTTTGCATATTAATTTTCTTACTGTAAATAGGTTAACTAAATGCAGAAAATTAAGAGTGTAGATTAAGCATACTTCACCATGGGGAAGTCATTAGATTATGAAAATTTGAATGAAAACGTGAAGAAATGTCAGTATGCAGTCCGAGGTGAGCTTTATCTTCGGGCTTCTGAGCTTCAGAAGGAGGGAAAGAAGGTATGTTTGTCTATAAAAAATTGTGATATATTCCATTTTTATTATTATGGATATTTAGAACATTTATTTGATTCTAGATTGTCATGACAGCAGCTTAAGTAAACCTCTGAGCTTAGTGGCTGAAAGTAACTTTATCTTCCTTTCACATTAGCATATTTACTTAAACTGATTTTTGTCTCAACTTGAAGTAATAGACGAAGGAAATGATAGAGCTTTATATCTGCTTGAGCTGTTGGCCAATTACTGAGTTAATTTTCAAGGCAAACAATTATACAACACTTGCTCAAAATTTTTAAGCTAGATAATATTATTCCGCCTTTTTGGTTTTTGACGACAGATTATCTTTACAAATGTTGGCAATCCTCATGCTCTTGGGCAGAAACCTCTGACATTTCCTCGTCAGGTTTTTCTCATACCTATTATTAT